TATATATATATATATATATATATATATATATACACACACACGAAGATTAGGTGTTACATATGTGATTGGGTAAGAATCAAATATTATGTTTCTAGATATTTAAAGTTTAGATTTAAGACATAGATATATAAGAATTGCATGCTAATATTTTTCTTATATGCATAGTATGTTAGTCTTCAAAACGGCTAAAAATCCTACAATAATTGCAATTTTACAGGAAATTTGATATACAGTTATTTTTTTTCAGGCTAGGTTCCACATGGACGGGCCAGGTTTGGCTACTTTGGGCTTTGTCTAAGTCAATGCGGGCTCGCAACGGGCTGGGCCGACCAAATTTCTATTTTTTATAGCCAACCCACCCACGTCCCGCGGGTTTTTGGCGAGCCCGTTGGCCTACCCGCCCAATGCCCAGATCTAATTTATAGGTATAAAACTGTTTCAAACTTATTCAACAAAGACATCAACATTGATATATACCATCTTTAGATGCCAACAAACTCTAAAAATGGATATGATTCTAATTTTTTTCTGGAAGCACAACAAATTTTCGTTTCTTCCATTTTTCTCTTTCCTTTTTCAAGCCTTTTATCATGGTTAGCTGAAATTTATGCTTTGGAAAGAGAATTGAAACCCCTTTCTCCTTCCATGACTCTAAATAATGATATAATTTTGCGCTCTCTTCTTTATCTTCTTACTTTTTCTTAGATATTTATTTTAAGTTTTCTTGCATTTGATATTGTATATCATGTGATATTTTTTTTGCAGGCAACAAAATTACCCTTTATCTAACAAGATAGTTCATTTGCATTCCATCACGAACTTAAAATTTGCAGAAGTGATTCTATGCTATATCCACATTTTGACACACTATTTTTCAAAATAATATATAAACTTTTACAATGTTATATTCTAATATAAATAATGTATTGATCATTAATACAGTAATAGGCAATTTGCAAATTTATAATAAATTACATCATGAATTTTCAAATATCTTGAATATATCTTGATCAGAGAATCAATATTTTAAAAATTGGTGATTAGTAGTGTTGATTTAAACATTTGTTTATAGAATTAAAAATATACTTATTATATATGACTCATAATATAGCGAATATCTTGAAAACCATAAAATGAGACTCATATTAATTGATGCTGCAAATTGTTATTCAATAAAGTTAGCATTTGAAAATGAGTAAATTCTATAATACTTAAAATATATTTAATGAAATTAAAAAATAAAATATTGAATAAAATTAATATTTGGTCTACATGTATAATATATATTTACTTTTAAGTTTTATAATATTTACGATATATGATTAATTACAAAAATTAAAAAACCTAGGCCATAGGATGAGAAAGGCATTGCACCTCAGTGTAATCGGCCAATTCTAGCAATTAGAAACCGGTTTGTCAATCAAGCTGCTGGTTCAAAGTTGTTCCAAGCGGTTCAATATAGAAACAAAATTTTCTTAGGTTTTAGATCTGACTAATGAGCGGTTCCCAGCTGAACCGGGTGGCTAGTAGTGATTTTTTTTTGAAACATTGGTTGTGGTTTTATCGGCTTGCATTTGTATATGTAGTTGTAACTAGATTATGATCTTTTAGTGATCAGCTATGTTGCTTTTAATTCATGTTGCCTACTTAGTGGCTAAAGTGCTCAAGTGACTTAATAAGCATCTTTGTGGTTCCTTTAGCTATTTTAGGGGCCCATTATTGCTTCATGCATTTCTTTCCACCCATGAAAAAGTCTTGGGCAGTGCTACGGGGAAATGTGTATTTTTTTGTAAGTATTTGTGGTTCTATTAGCCATTACCGTTACTAGATTTATATAACTTTGTGGATTTGAAATGATCTAACTTTGTGAAAGACGACTTTAGGGATTAATGCTTATTAATTTCAAAATTCGAGGCAAATGGGCTTTTGGCTTAATAAAACTTTACAGTTTTCTTTTTGGCTAGTGTGCTTTGTTGTATGTTGATTCCTTTGATTGCGGTGCAAGGGCAAATACCTGTTTTTGGTATGTGTTCTCTCCTTGCACTGATATGAGACCAAGTATTTAGGTGTTTCTGGATCTCTTATCTTGTTCTTTTCTATTTATATTGTGATTATGCTTAAATTTAATCGAATTGATTCCAATGGTTTTAAGATTTCAGTGCTAATTAAAATCTCATTTATTTTTTTGGTAGTTTACATCTATAGAAGATAAGTTGTTATTTTAATTGATCTTTGGAACTAGGATTTTCTATTTCGATTTGAGTGCTTCATATATTGCGTCATGTTGTTGCGTTCAATTTAGATCCTAAGATATTGTTGCATCAAATTGATATTAAACTTTAAGGTTTTGTAAATATATCATCTACTGGTGCTTCATCCCAAGGCTGCTTTACAGATGATTAAGGGATGAGATTGGACTATTACAAAATCTATTGGTGGAATTGCTAAACAAGCACATGAATTTGAAGTTGAAGCTAATTAATGGCGAACCCATTCACTTGAATGTTTACAAAAGTAGGAGACGGAAATCATTGTGGAAGGAGTAATCAAGCTTGACAGGACATAGTGTATGGTAATGAAGCCTATGAAAATCATAAAAGTCAAAATTTTGATGTACATTCTAATTGTTTAAAAAGTTTAAAATTGAAGCATCTGTATGTAATAAAAAGATATGTTGTAAGATTTTCATACTGATTAATGAATATGAATAATTTTTTAAATGAAAAATAATATCTATTGAGTGTCAAGTCAGATTTGCAAAATTGAAATTAATTGGACAAGTTAGAATATACTGATTAGTTGTGACAAAATCGAGGGACATGTTAGGAAGTGAACCTGCAACTATTTTGGTTGAAATGAATGACTGTGTATTTGTGATTTTGATGTCATGATTGATTGCTTGGTATGATTTAAAACAAGATACAAAAAACTATAATTGAGTAAATAAATAAATCAAAATGTTCGGAAATCATGGAGAATCATAAAATCACACTTTTTAAGTTTAGATTTGGTTTGACCTTTGTTATCAAGAGACATGAAGCCACATCATATTTTATTGCTTGAGCATATTTTCCAACTTGCAGTAGTCTTTTGAATACATGTTAAATTAAGAGTTGCAACATGTACTAGTATTATATATTTTTTTTTCTAAAATATCTAAATTCACTGTATTGCATCCACTACATCAGAAGGAAATAAACCTTTGTTAATAAAGATAAATAAAAATTTGTTTCCATTGCATTAATAATTTTTGCTAAAGCTTGTTTCAAATGTTAGCCGGTTATTATGCTAGTGACTGTTTATACAAACTTTTATATTCATGTGGAGGAAGGTGATATAAGTTATTATGCTAGTGACTGTTTATACAAACTTTTATATTCATGTGGAGGAAGGTGACATTGATATTAATTAGGATGATGGGGTACATGAATTTAATGAAAATATTAGTAGATTAGTAACTTAAAGAATAATTTGATTGAGAATTCTTTTAAGTATTATGTTAAGACAGTCCTAAAAAAATTTGAAATTTCTTGAATATGAACCACTATTTTTCAAGTTTTTTTCAAGATCATGTAAAAGTTTTGCAAGTTCATTATATATAGTGGGAGTTGTATGAACATTGTCACTAGTTTTGCTATTAATTGCATGCATTTAAAACCATGGACCTCGTCCGCAACCATATTAGGTTGTGATTCGAAGAGCGGCTGCATGTAGAGAGCTGTGTTGTCAGGATTTTTTGTGGAGTAAGAAACTAAGCACATAGTTTCGTAATAGATGAACTAGGCAAATGCAACGATGAATAAGCTCTTCCTCGTATCTATTTTTTTAGTTTTTAGACTTCACTGTTCTCTCAACTACTATGATTCAAGACAAAATGACAATTACCCCAAATCCCTTTTCCTAATTTTCTTGTATAAAAAAATCATGAATTTAAATATGAAGAAGTTACGAGATATAACACTCACATTGATGCAACAATCACGGATGTTTTTACATGATCAACAAACTCATTGGGGATGAAGTTGGTTTGCTCTTGGTTACCATCTCAGCTTTCAAATTTTCATATTTGTCACATGGCTCTCGAAAATTTTCTGAACCCCCTTCTCAAGATGCTTATTGATGACTATACCACTTGTTAGTAATGCTTCTGGCTCGAGATTCCATCGGTAGCATCATAGATTCTCTTGGGAGTCCTCTTATTAACTTCCACATTATCTCGGCTGGTTCCTACATCATTGAGTCAACTGATCTTCTGATCGTGCAACACCTCTTCAGGGTGTTATTCACTTATTTGAATCAATCTAGAGGGGAGGGAACATTTGAACTCCTCTCTTCTTAGTATACCACTTCGCCTTGGTTGTCATCTATCCCTTCTGGATGATTTGGTAGAGCACTTCGGTGCCTCAATGGGTTCTTGTAGTCCTTTCCTCCATGAGTTGGTCCTTCTTGAGTTGATCCACCCAGCTTTGGAATTGTAGGTTTTCATTTGTGGTCAAGAGATCCAAATGGGGTTGGGCTAATTTGTATTTTGGTTGAGTGTATGAAATCTAGGAGGATGTCTTGTTGGGCTTTTAGGTTGTGATAAGATGGTTAGAATAAAGAGTTGGAGTTGTTAAGTGGCGTTGAGATGTGTAAAGGTGGTGGAAAGGAAAATGGACATTTCGTATACTATTTTGAGAGAGCGTATAGAGAAAGAGAATTCCTTTGCAGGGGTTGATGGATTGAGTGGGTGAGCTCCATAACAATAGGGTGGATATGAATGAAGGAAAAACTGTAAATGAACAAAATAAAATACTAACATCATAGTAGATGAAGTCAACCTCACTAAGAGAAGGGGAACAGATGGGCTATTGAGTCCGCCCAAGGAATTTGCCACAATGCTTTTTGAAAGAAGAAAACTCTTCAAATTTAATTTTAGATTATATATTATGACATTAAATGTCATATATATATGTATGTATGTATGCATATAATTTGATGTGTAGGATATGTGAAATAGCAAAAGACAAAATATTAAAGAGGGTATAGCAGGGGGAGGGCGGGTATTGTTATTGCCAAGTTTTTCTTGCGCATTCACGCCTTGGGAAACCTAAGAACACATTTCGTAACTTTTCTTGCTTTCATCATCATATTAATTTAGTAATAAAATTTTAGCTGGCTTTACTTAGGTGGATTGTAATTCATTACTTACATTATCACCTTTTGAATGGTTACTTTCTAGGCTATTATCCTATTTGCATCATTATATTATAGCAATAAAATCAAAATATAATTCTGCAAAACATTTTTTCGAAGTAACATAAAACTATCTAAAATCCATAAGCCATTCTTCATTTATCCCATTGACCTCAAAGAACTCTTCTAAGAAGAGTTGGAATACAAGGCGGTAAAGGTTCCTGCCTGGTATCTACCAAGGTGGAGTGCC